AGCCCTCGGCGTGCCCAGTCTTGATGCTCTGCCTCAGCACCGCCGTTCTCAGAAGTGGCTGTTTACTGTGCAGGGAGGAAACCTGCATCCCTCTCCCTCCTCCTCCTGCTGCTCCCGAGTCCTCTCCCTGCCAGTTCAGTGCCCTCCCTGTGCCGGGAAGGGGAGTGCTGATGTGGCTCCTCAGCCAGCACTGCCAGCCCTGGGCAGCACAGCCACCTCTGCCCATGGGCACCGGGCCCAGGCATTCTGCAAGCCAAGACAGTGCTGGCAGCAGGGAGGGCCCTCACCTCTGTCAGGACACCTGCTACATCCAGCCCTGGCACACTGCAGAGCTGCACGGGAATCTGCCTCCTCCTCTCCCTTCTGTCCAGAGGGAAAATGACAAACTCAGGCCAGTGACCGACTCCATGGTCCCAGTGACAGTAGTCAGTGACCATCAGGGAAGCTGTGAGAAAAGGAGGACTCAGACTTTGAGGCTCCTGGCTGACCACGGCACTGTGCAGGTGAGCTCGCAGAGGAGCCAGCCCTGCTGTGCTATTCCTGACTCGCCATCTGAGCCTGACTCATTGCCTTGGAAACAAATTAAAACACTTTTATGTGTTTGCAGCTTGGTACCTAATTTTGTAAAACCAGGGAAACTGGCTCCTGCTGTTGGCCATGGAGGTCCTTTGGCTTTCCACCACCTCTGGTACCACCCAGGAGTGCCCCACGCCCGGACTGTTGCACACACAGTTTTTGGGGGGTGGGTTGTCCATCAGTCTATATTGAGGTGACCCCACTCTCTTTGCAGTAGATAAAAGTACTAAAACTACATGCAAAGGGACAAAAGGCACACACCAGTGTCCTGCACAAGGTGCCACCAGAACTGCAGGAACAGCTGCTCATTCTGCTAGAATGAGGCAACAGTGATGGTGGAGGAGAGTTGGGACAAGCCCTTTCTCCAGAAAGGCCACAAGGCCACACAGAATTTTGTAGGCAAATGAAGTGTCTCCGTGTCCAGCTGAGGGGCCCCATGGTGCACACCTGCCACCCCCAGCAGCTGTGGGGCAAGAGGATGCTCCCTGTCTCTGGTATGAAAGGAGCCAGCACCACCACTTCAGGCAGAGCTGGGCCTGGACAGCATCCCCGAGTTTGTGAGGTCCCTGCAGTGGCTGTCCAGCTCAAGGGGATGTGACACGTTTTGAGGTCATTGCCATGACTGCATGAGAACTGCTGGGGGTTCTGGGAGGGTGAGGAGGGGGGTTGGCTCAGTGAGTGGGCCAGGAAATGTGTTTGCCTCTGGTGGGTGCAAATATGGAGGTTGCTTTGAAGAAGACTTCAAGAAGCTCCAACAATCCAAGTGCTGTCTGTCAAATCTAGAAAGGAGCTGGAGATGATTCCGGAGGAGAAGAAAATACCAAGATGCAGGCACTATCTATAGACGTCCGTGTGAAGGTGGGACGTTGGAGTGCAGAGTATTTTTATCCCAATAGAGGTGTTATCTGTCTATCTCCCATGAAATGCTGGAGGGGGGTGTTAAGCACTCAGTTCATGCAAAGATAAAATAGCCCAAGTCACAGTTAAATCTGCGTGGTCTGTGTTTTCCCAAGGCAAGCTGTCATACTCGGAATTTTTCTCCTCTAGCTCACTGTCCCATGTTTGTTGCATGACAAAGTTCAGCGCCCAAGTAGCTGTTTAGTGGCCTGGACGGAGTTTTGCCGTGTGCAGGGTGCAGTTGGGTCATCCACCCCATCAGAAGTGGTTCCTGCACACCTCAGCACACACGGTCTGCTTGCTCGCCAGCGGCAGAGCCGCGCTCAGCTCGCAGCGGGGCTGCAGCCGGCTGAGGAGGAGCTTCAGTACAAGCCTTAACCACACCTGGCACATGCCAGGGGCGGTTCCTAAGAGTTCAAAGGCTTCGGCGTGGCTTATTTACGCATATACCTCCCAGCAGATCCTTTTATTCTTAAATTCCAGACAGTTTATTACGTGAAGATCCTGAAAATCCAAAGTCTTGTCCTCTCTGCATTGATGTTAAAGATCTGAAGGCCTGGCCTGAGGTGCTGGGAGCAGCTGCGGGGTGGTGCTGGGGGCTTAGGGCAGTGCCAGGTGCTCAGGGCTGCACTGCTGGAGTGGCTGCTCCATGGAGGCTGTGCAGGATCTGGCACAGCCTGGCTGTGGATATGCACGGCCGGGCCCACGTGCACAAACCCAGCACGTGCCCACCCCACGGTAGCTCATAGGAAGTGGATTCAAAAGGGATTTAAATGCCAGCAAATAAATAGCTTGGGATGGGCTGTAATTAGAAAATTCCCTGTATTTTAACAACTGGCTCTGGGAAATTCCTGGCTAAAAACAGAGTGCTGTGTTTGTGCTAATCCAGCAGCCCTGCGGGGGCCTGCTCACTCTTCCTGCTCAGAGTGAGAGGAGCTCTTGGCTTGCTGGGTGAGGAGGGATTTATATTACTTTTTGCCTTCATGGATGCTTATGGGGATGAAGAGCAAAGAGCTGGCAAGGAAACATCTCTGCTGAGAGAGAAACTTTGATCAAACTTGTGATTTTCTCAGCTCCAGGGAGTAAAGGAAGTTTATTTATAGAACAGCCTTGGTAAAAACAAACCCCAGCCCATATCCCGTGTTGGATGGCAGCTCTGGCTGCAGTACAACATGGGGCATGTCAATTGTGTTTGCTCTGTAGCACAAGGTTTGGATAGCATTAGGGGTAATTAACAGCCCTTGCAGATCAGGGCAGTCTGTTTTTGGGGAGCATATGACCTTCCACTGCAGTAGAACACGGACACTGCAATTCCGAGTACCCGGGAGAGCACTGTGGTGGGATGAGCAGGACTGCACAGTAGCTGCTCTCACTGTGATTCCTGACAAAAAGCATCTACTCTGAAGTTCACATCATCTGGAGGCCTCTGCTTATCCAGATTCCTTCAGGTGAATACCCTGGAACTCAAGCACTCCATGGTGTAGGGTGATAGCAAGTCACCCTCATCAGTGTCTCGTCTTTGCACTTCACAGGCAAACGTGTCCCTGCTGTGACCAGGTGCCAGCACAGGGGAGGCTCCAAATCCCACTGGAGCACCCAAATAACGGCTGGTCCTGAATGCAGGTATTTAAAACCACCAAAACCAAAAGGTGACTAATACATTGCATTCTTCACCTTGCAACTGAGGATTACAAAGTGTTTTATAATTAAGTAACTAATTAAGTCTAAGAGCATTTCAGTGTAATGTGTTTTATGTCCCTTCCCAGAGAGGCACAGGAGCTCAGAGTGCCAGGGAGCCAGCTGCAGCCACTGCTACCCCACCACTCGCTGTCTCTGCTGATTCCCAGGAGTTTGGTCCTAAAACTGGTCTTGAAAACTTGTGGAAGCTGCAGACTGATGGATGTTGACATTATGTATCAGCAGTAAGTACCTACCTGCCCTGAGAACCAGTAAAAGAAACATGAAATGAGTGAGGGAAAAGAAAACCAGAGGAGACTACCTGTGCTTTTTTATCCAGGGGAGTCCAGTTGGAAAAACTATAACCTCCTTGACAGCTGGAATGTCAGCCTGGGATAGCAGTGACTGAAACCTGTCACCGTTGGATGGTTCGTAACTCACACGAACGGCACAAGCAGCTCCTGCAGCTTCCCTGGAGAGCTGGTGGCTCCCAGCAAGGGTGTCGCTGCTGTCACAGCCCTGCGGATGGAGCAGGGTCCCCACGGTCAGAGCAGTGTCCATGTGGACAGAGCAGGGTCCCCACATGGGGACCATCTGTCGGCAGCCCAAGGACCCACTCTGCCCTCCCACCTGGCCCCCAGGCACCTCCCAGTGCTGCAGCAGAACGTTCCGGGATGGGCCATGTTGCCCACCCACCCCTACCCCCCTACCCCTGGCTGTGATGTGTCCAGGCAGCGCTCCTGGGAAGGGACCCGGAGCCCGTGGCTCAGGGCTGCACTGCCACGTGGTCCAGTGGGAACACCTGAGAGAGGAGCTCTGCAGGGATGCCTGGTTTTGGTGTGTGATCCATCCAAGACCCTTATTGGTGCCACAGAGATTTCCTGGGACAAGCATGCCAGCTCATGGCCACAGGACACAGGGCCTCCCCCAGCAACACCTGCACGTGTGCACGGCTCCAGGACCCCGGGAGGACAATGCAACGCAGGGGAGGACACCTGTCCTGTGCCTGCCAGACATTTACAGCTCTGCAGTTCTGCCCAATGCTCTGGGATGCAACAGCCCTTTCAGCCGAGATTTTATGTGCCATGAAAACGTTTGTAGAGACATTGTACAAAAGAATAGTTCAGGTGGGAGAAATGGAAGTCCAGGAATATAATGTAGGAAAGGTGAAGCCACAAGTCTCTAGCCCAAATTCCATCTAAGCCAAGCTCCTTTAACAGGTCTAACATCACATCCTCATTATTCAAGAAAAGCTTTTGTACTGTTAAAGAAAATGACAGAAAGAACTTTGAATTTTAAAATTAGCCTAGTAACTCATCCCTAGGTACAGTCAGTGAGTGCGTCAAATTTAGTATTTTTAACTAGTGAACCTCCCAGTACTTTGGCAGGATCAGCAGCATCATTGGGCAGGCTCCTTCCTTTCCAATGCAGGGGAAACTGAGGAGCAGTGATGTGAAATACTTTCTCCACCACTAACAGTTACAGCTCTGCAATTACTGACTTAATTGCTATCAGTCAAAAGCAGTGTATTGCCCAAAAGTCAAAGTGCCTGAAATGCCCTCAAAAGCCAGGAAGCACCTGAAAACTCTGTGGGAAAACAGCTGCTGGGAAGTTTTTGTAAGGAGAAAGGCAGTCTGGCTTTGTCTCAGCCTGGGAGTCAATTCAATTCCTGCTGCAACGAACTTGAAACAGTCAAATATCACACGGAAACAGCAGCCAGATTTACAAACAAAACGCTCTCTCTCACTTCAAGCACTCTGCAGTGCTGCTAACAGGGAAGGTTCCTGGCTCTGGGCACGCAGCAGGAACCTTTCTATGCTCACAGAGTAAAGAATATCAACCTTCCTTACCCCTTCCATGTGGATCCTGGGATTCGTTGCCAGCCGGTGCTGGTGCAGCTGCAGCCCCCTGGGGATTCTCCTGATGGAGGCAGGGGAGGACAGGACCCCTGACCTCTGGATCGAGCCAAACCTGGTGATGTTTTGTCCACACCTGACTCCATCCAGGAGGCGAATGAGGAGCAGGTTGGAGGGGAGCTGCTCGATGCTGCACAGGACGAGGGTCCTGCACTCAGGGCACCGTAGCTCCTTCTGGGATTTCAGGATCCTTTGCAGACAGGGCTTGCAGAAGGTGTGCTGGCACGGCAGCACCTTTGCCGTGGCGTCGAGCTTTTCAAAGCACACAGGACACTCCAACAGGTCAAGGAGAGCCAAGTCATCCATCTTCAGTGCAGAACTCCGTCAGGAGCGGAGCTGGAGCCATCCACACCCCACATCCACTGGAGCTGGCTGAGATGCCTCCCTGTGCCTGCAAGAACCAGATCCTGGGCTCCAGCAGCTATCCTGCTCGGAGGGAGAGGGAGGAGGGAGCGCGGAGCAGAGCTCCACTGCTGGAGTGTGTAACGCAGCCACCTACATCGCAGAGCTGTTCCTCACCAGCCAATCTGCAAACTCACACGCTGCGCTCGCATCCCAGTTTGAAATGAGTCACTTGTGACTCAGTTGGTGCGAGGGGACGGGTCTGGGGTGGTGCCGGGGGCAGGAGCCCCAGGTCGTGCTCCCCGGGCAGAAGATCCCGGAGCTGGGATGGGGAGCTGCAGCAGGCCGGGCACGCTCCCCTGACACTGTGCACAGGGCTGGCTGCAGAGCTCCTGCTCTGCACATCAGAACTGACACGGCGGTAAAAAATTCACCAGCTCAGGAGATGAGAGTCCCCGATAAACATCAGACCGGACCTGTTTATGCTCGGCTCCGGCTGTTCGCCACCACTCGCTGCTCACATCCCTCGCACACCTACACGCCGCCTCGGCTGCCAGATAGTCCCAATTTAGCTCGCTCCGTGCTCGTTTTGACAGCAGTTCTATAAAAAGTCCTCCAGGCGCAGCCACTCTCCGGGGGTACCTGGCGGGGCCGTGGGGCGCTCTGCGGTGTCGTCCTCGCCCGGTTTGGCTGCCTCAGCTCGCTGAATCAACCAAGGAGGATTATTCCTCCCACAGCCTGAAGTCGCTCAACCTGTTCTGCTCCCCGGCTGTGCTGGCTGAGTCCAGGGCACCCACCATGGCGGGGTTCAAGCCTGGGCTTGCCGCGGCTGCGTGGCCCTGCAGCACAGATGGGATGGGATGTCCTGCACCAACCGAGGGGCCAAAGGGAGCCCTTGCACCAGGAGCTGGCACAGTCCTGCTGGGGGGGAGCAGCATGTGCCAGACCCGATCCAGACAGAGCTTCCTGTGCCTGGCACTCTAAACAGGGATTGACTGCTCTGGCTGCTCTGTCTGACGGATGGTCACCTCAACAGCAACTGCTCTGTGGGACAAGGGGGGAACTGGACACTGTGTTGGTTACCAGGGACAGGCTGACCTTTGCATGACTTTTGGTGCTGTTACCTGGGTTCCACCAGTTCCTGGTGTTACCACTCCCAGGCCAGTTGGCGATGGGCTTCGTGCTGGGGAGTCCACAAATGGCCCCTGCAGGAAGGGTGTCCCTGTGCTGCAGTGAGACCTGAGCCCAGCAACAGCCCCGTGGAGTCTGAGGGGCACCTTCCTGCCCCAGCGAGCCCCTGGCTATGGCATGGGAGGCCAGGGGACATCTCATGGTGTCTGTGATTTGCATTCCCTTTATCAGCTGGATTCCTATCTCAGGTCTGCCAGCTCGCACATACCGATGGATTGCTTAAGGAATGCAGGAGATGCAGCAAAGGTCCGAGACAGTTTTGCTTACAAACCCTGTCGTATCTCAGTTGTGTTTACAACCTACAAGTGCTACTAATACTAGAGGAGGAGTGTAAATCCAAAAATCTCTCAGATAACGCCACCAGATAACACCCTGCCCTCCTCTCAGGATCCTTCAGAAGTAGGGTGTGGAAAGGGTTAATGTGTCTTTCCAAAAGTTCTCCCCCCCAGATCATGATTTTGCCAAAACAAAGTTTTTCTTTTCTTTCTTTAATAGAGTAGCCATTTGGATAAATTAAACTGTTGACAAACATCTTCAGGATATGCCAGGAACCAATGACCTCACTCTGTTTCATCTCAAGTTTCCTGTTGCTTTGGTGCTTCTTTGTAGTCTGTCATATGGTGATGTGTGCTGGGTGCACACTGTTTAATGAGTGATGCTGCAAACAACATCAGCTCGTCCGCCGGAGGTTGTAAATGCAATGCATGCCATAAACTTTATTGAAAACAAAGGTTTTGAAGGTTATTTTTCTTTTTTACATATTCTTCCCTATTTGTGCCCTGTGATTAGCACTCGGGTTGTATTTTCATCTCATTAGAAAGGAAGCAGAATTATGAAGTATCCTGCAGTGGGCAGGTGCTGGAAAGGAAGCCAGCTGGCTGGTTCTCTGCAAACCAACTCTTGCTCATCTCTGATCAGATCTGTTTGGTCCTTCAGTTTTCCTGAACTTCAGGGGCCAGTCTGTGTTAGCTGCACTTTCACAGCAATGGGTGGGAGTGAGGGTCTGCCTGGGGGATGCACCTGCACAGTGCAGTGCACAGTTCCTGGTGAATTCCCATCACCAGCCACAGTTGGAGCATCCGGACGCTCTGTGGGTGCCTCAGGAGGACCCAGGCCAGGGAATTCTGTGGTGCTGAGCACATTCCAGGGGTCCAGGGAACTGGGGATCTGGAGCTTCTCAAGGGTCGTCAGTGATATCGGTGTCTGCGGGAAGGCCCTGCGTTCTCCATCTCTTGGGAATGCCATCAGGGATATGCTCTGTACAAGCTCCCCTGAGTCTGGCAGCAACTCTGTCTCCTCTCTGCCTGCTTGGGGCACAGGGTGTGGATTGCAGGGACAGGGGCTTTTCCAACCAGGAGTTTCTGAACTGCCACAACAGCCAAGTGAGACTCCGATCTGGGCTGCAGTCTCTGGTTCTGCTGCAATACAAAAGCTACCTGTGCTAACACACTTATATAACACATCAAATGTTCAGAGCACTTCCCAAAAGCTCATTCATCTGTGGAATGCCCCTCGAGCTAAGCATCCCACCACCACTTTACATGGAGGAAACCAGGAGACGAGGCCACAGTGTCCAATTTGGGATCAGGATGTGAGGCTTTCCTGGTTCTCCACTTCACACTCAGACCATTATCTGCCATCGCCTCTCCCTTCCAACGCATCTCATAATTGGGGTTAAAAAATAAAGGCAGAGCTAGAAAGCTGCTCGTCCTTCCCTTTCATTTCAACAGCCTCTGTTTGATGCTGACGCTGTAATTAACTCAGGGCTGGATGCAGCGGGATGCCTGGTCTGGAGGACGCTGCTCTCGGGCCGCAGGCAGGGCTCCTGCCTGGGCATGGCTGGCTGCTGTCCTGGCCCTGCTGGTCTGCAGGAGCCCTCTGCGGCTTCCCAGGGAAGGGATGCCTGTTACTGAAGGGATGGAACTGCTGAAATATGTCTTGCAAGAGTCGTTTAATCCAAGAGGTTTATCATAGAGCTGGAAACTGCGAAACGATGTTGAGAGCGATGTGCCTGTCCTTGCTTCCACACCAAGGAGCTGCACACACGTGTCTCCCCTGGGAGCTCCCCTCTTTTGGCTTCCCCCAGCTCCATTGTGGACTCAGAAAAGAACTCCAATGGATTCCAAAGAGAACACACTTTGTCCCCATCACTCACAGGAGCTGTGCTGTGCGGTGTGTGCTCCTGTCCACCTGAACAACATCAGTGACTGAATGTGCCCAGCCTTGGGAACTCGTCCATGGCTCCTTGGAGGAAAAGGCTGGTGTCATCCACACACATTGTGTAATGGGAACTGAACCCTGTCACTGCTGGGAGCATGGAGGCTTGGTAAGATGTGCCATGGCAGGAAGTGTGAAGTTTGTTTTCTGCAGGCTGTGTCACAAGTGCCTGTGGGAGCCTCAGTCTCTCCCATCACCTTACTTCAAACCCTGCTCCAAACGTGTCTCCACTCTTTCCAGGGAGGGACTCCAGTGGGATTGTCGCACCCTCAGGATGCCACGTCCTCGGGCTGACTCCCTGCATGCCGCCTGTGCCAGAGGGCTCTCCAGCAGGACCAACATCCCATGGGTCTGGTGATGGGCTCCCAAGAAGTCCCTTTGGCAGCAGTAATGGGGTGGCTCTTGCCTCTCGGTCCCTCTGGGCTCTCTGCTAGAAATTAATGCGGAAGAGTGTGAACAACTGAGAGGAGCTTCTCTCCACTGCCCTTTGTCTCACGTGCTCCGGACCATCCTCCTCACCCCATCCTACATCCCACCAGCCAACCCAGTGCCCTGGTGTCACCAGCCAACGCTGTGCCCCCCGAGCACCGCATGGGCACCGGGCTGTTGTTCAGTGACTGCTGCAGGGCTGTCACAGCTGGGGCCACGTGTGCCGTGACAGGGCACAGCACGGCAGCACTTTCGGGTAGTATAAAAAGCCTTTGCCACTCTACACCGTGCAGGTGGATGCCACATGCCTCCTTCCTGGGGGAAGAGGGACCTTTCAGGCTGTTTTTAGCTCCTGGAGGGCAGGGAGAGGGGGTGCCTCTTACAAGCTGCTACAGATTATAGATCTGAGCTGGCAGCCTGTCCTCCCCACCCACCCACAAACACGACGCCCAGTGCTGCTGCTGAAGGGGGTGAATGGCAGGACCTGCCTGTGCCTCCGGACCCCGAGGGCCAGGAGGGGACCGTTCCCCTGGCATGGGGTCAGTGGTCCTGCGGGAGCGCCCCTCAGCCCTGACGAGTTGTGGTGGTGTCTGCACACACGGCTGGTGCTGATGGGCAGAACCCGGTACATTTAGTAAATATGTTGCATTTGCTTGAAAATATAATTAGGCCAGCGTGACTCTGCAGGGATCTGCAGAGTGTGGGGACCTGCAGCCATAAGAGCAAAAGGCTCCCTAAAATTTTCTCTCTCTCAAACCAATGTCTGGTGCCCCGTGATGGGCAGCAGCCAGTGGCCACCACCTCCCTTCTCCCCATGCCTGCCCCACAGCCCCTGAGGGGCACACAGAGGGACAGACCCACTGACAGCTGGGTGTTTTAGGCTTCCTTTTCCTTTTTTCCCTTCACGAGGTACATACACATTGTCTGGCAGATAAAAGCCATCTACATGTCCATAAGAAGAGGGGTTAGGGAGCTGTTTATTGAGCTCATGGAGGGTTGAATGCTGTGTTTTGCCATTACAGCCTTGTGCAGTCTGGGTATTGGGTACTGTGAAGGCTTCAGCTGATTCTGAAGTAGCTGGAGCAGAGCAGTGCCTGTCCAGAAATAGAGAAGTATTTTTAAATTAAATTTATTCACTGATTTTCCTGAAGACAGATTGTTGTGTGTTTGTTGAAGAGTCATTAGGAGTAGTTGGCGGTGGAGCCAGGCTGAGCAACAGCGAGCGGATGGACGTGTCCTCCCTGTGACTGGGGAGGCCACCCGGACCTCCTCCTCCTCTTCCTCCTCCTCCTCCTGCTG